CAAAAAAAACTGAGGGGATTAGCCAGGGTGGCCCAGGGAGTAAAAACAACTTTAAACCCCCCCCCCCCCAAAAAAGGCAAAACTGCTCTCTCAGGTGTGGATAATGTATATTTGTGACCTGTAAGCCATTTAGTTATATCTGGGTTTGTCTTAAGAACTTGTTTTTTCAGAGGTTAACCCAAGGGTGGAAATAAAATACTCAGACTGAACAAGGTGAGAAAACTTCCAGAACAGCCTCACTATTAATTACAAAGATCTCTGGATCAAGCTCGTCTCTTCCCATTCTATCTAAAGAGAAAGAGAAGACTGGGAGCACAAGATCTCCATGACACAAAACTCTCCCATTTCTATCCGTAAACATCCCCACCCCAATCCCCCAAATGCTTTAAAAAATCCCCTAAATGCTTAAAAAATACTTCAGCCTTATTGCATCATTGGAAGAATTGCCAGCAAAGTAGGAGGCTGAATTGCCCCCTTCAAGAACTTGCCTTCCTCTGATTGGAAGAGTTCTCAGTTTCAGAAGAATTCATTTATGCATGTGAATTGAATACTGTAGCACAATACGAAAGGTGCAAGTATATGTCATTAGCGATATATCCAGCCTTGCTCCTTTTTCCTTGGGCCTTAACTAGCAGTGTATAAGTAGAATTGGGGACTTGGGTTTCCATTGAATAGCTGAAAATTGGCAGAAGAAACTTACATAATTTTCCCTAGATAAGTAGCGGATACTGAATGAATACTTACTACTTCAGCTACCCATTGTCTTCTCCCATAACTTTGTCTGTCAGCTGCTTTTCTTAGACCTGGAACATCTAAACCAGTGTTTTTCAAACTTGGCAACTTTAAGATGGGTGGACTTCAAGTCCCAGTATTCTGGGAATTAATCTCCACTCATTTTAAAATTGCCAAGTTTGAAAAACGCTGATCTAAACTGATAACTGGGGGATAGGGGATATAGGGTAGAAACAGAGAGTAAAGGCTATGCCTTCTGTTTAGCCCATGTACTGTAAGTCATGCCATCACTGCCACCACCAATCATTTCGCTACCAAAGATTTGGATTCTGTTCTTAGATTTGGGTTTATTACTAAAATACTAGTTTGTTTACTGCACCCATTAGAGCTTCCTAAAGCATGAGGATGGCAAATTTCTACACATAATATTGAATATAGGCATACTGTATATTTCTAGCATTTCTGTCTTGCCTTTTCTCTATAAAATTATATTAATTGTGTCTTCGGAGAAAATCATTCCCTTTTTGTCATCATATGTGCATCATCAACACTAAACCATAGTTAGAAAATCAGCAACAAGAAATTATAACCCAACTGGTTGTAGAGTGTAGGACTTTTTTTTTGGCCTTTCAAAAGTTCCTAAATCTATGTGTGGTGTTGCTTTGAACCAGGGTGTATGCACAGAGGTGTATCATCTCAAAGGTGGAATCCACAAGTACTTGGAAGAATTTCCTGATGGGTTCTATAGAGGAAAGCTGTTTGTTTTTGATGAACGTTATGCCATTTCCTCAAACAGTGATGTGATTTCAGGTAAAGTATGTTCTTCCCCATCTGAGCGGCTGTTTGGCACCTTTGCTGCTTGTATCCTATAGGCCACTAGTTTGTAAACTACCACAGGAGAGCTCCCTCCTGCTCAACATCACCAATTAGTTGCCCTTTGGATGAACAGCAAGATGGCTGGGCATAATGAGAGTTGTAGTCCAGCTCATCTAGTTGGGGAAGCCAGTTTGGAAGCACCAAGTCGTTGTTTTTTTCTTTACACTCAAGAAATGAGAGACTGACTTGCTGCCCATCTCCTCTATCCTGGCATACACTTCAGCTAACTATGCTTGGTCAGTCACAATTAAACCCCTAAATGAGCTCATACATCATGCTAAGTCACACACTGCTCTTCCCCCAAGTGTTTTAAGATGTTGGATTTGGGCCAAAGGAATTCAAGTTCAAATACCTACCCTTCCATCACTGGAAGATGGAAAGTGAGCTATACTTTCTTTCAACTAATTTGCATTACAAGGTTGTGGTTGTAGGAATATAGCAATCTTCAGTTTAATGGGCCTAGGCGTAATGGACTCCAGATACAATGGGCAAATTTTCACTTGTTTTTCAGTCCCATTTAAGGCTAATCTGCTAAACTGAGGTTTTATTGCAGATATTGTCATTTATTTCAACTATGTAACTACACAAATCATGTATACTGATACAAATGACCTATATTCAGATTTAACAGACATTTGTATTTAATAGACACCCCCTCCCTCTGAATGGTCCATTCAATTAAGGGTTTACTGTAAAATGAGGAGCCTCCCATGAGTGCTGTCATGAGCTCACAGAGCAGTTGCAGGGTATAAATCCAGTACATAACAACTAATGTTGGAATGTTTGGTTTTGGCTAAGTGTACTGTGTGATCCCAACCATTGTGCTTATAAAGTACAATTTATGGCTTAGCTGTATGATCCCAATCTATTGTGGCTTACTGAAGAAACCATGGTAGCTGTGTGAATCCAATCACACTGTGTTAGAGACCATAGGGAAAGTAGGGTCAGCAGTAACCCTAAACAACTGTTCCCCTTAGAAATTTAAGCTTGCTTCCCTCCTCTCCAGCTTGCCGTTATTGTGGGACACCCTGGGACCAGTACCGTCTTTGCTCTACCCAGCTCTGCCGTCAACTTGTCCTGACATGCCAGCAATGCCAACAGAAAGGGCTCACAGCCTGCTGTCCCCTCTGCCAGGAGAAAGGTCATGCACTGGCTTCAGCACCTTCAGGACTAACCTTCAAAGAGGAGTGTGAGTGTACAGGAACACGGCAGCAGGTACCAGTGGAATGCATTTGACAAAGACCCCTGAAGTTATGCTCCCTCTTTATGGATGATTGCCTGAGATGCCAGGTCTGAGACATATTTTAATGGGACTCGGGGGAGTTAGCTGTGTGGGGCAGTTGAACAGATCTTCAGTTCCAGCTGCAGTCAAGGTTTTATGCAAGATTGGATTCCTCTCAGAAGAAATTGCATGGAGAAGAAAGGTTCAACCATGTTTAGAGTCTTCCAGCAAGACAGCTTCAGGTTCTTACATGTAATGCTTTAGGAAGGCCTAATTCACAAGCAACGAAAAAATAGCAGATTGGTCTCAACCCAACAGGCAAGGCTATAGTGCATTCACCATTAATTTTAATGAGTTGCATAGAATCCTGTGCCATTTTTGAATGTTGCCCACCACTGGTAACAGGACTAACAGGAGAGCATCTGTTGACTGTGAGTTGAGCTGTACCACAGAAGTAGACAAACTTTTTTCATCCTGAGGGTTACAATTTGGGCCATAGAAATTAGGGTTGCTGATGTTACAATGTAATTAGAATAAGCAGGGCTCAACTTTTTGAGCCATTTTCAGGAGTGTTAGGGACAGAAGTGTAAAATGCTCTTTTCCTCATTAACCCCCCCAAAACAAGTCAAACTTGCACCAGTTTTGGGGAGGGGATGTTTCGGAATTTAAGGGGCATGCTGAATATCTAAATCTCCTATCGATAAATAGGAGGAAGCATTATGTATACCGCCTTAAATTGCACAAAATAAAGGTGAGATGATATAATAATAACACCAACACCACAACTACCATGGCCTAGAATATCTAACTGTCCACTGGAACTAGACTAAGGACAAAAGTGGACTCTGCATGTTTTGTTTTGCAGATTTCAGCCATGCCTGCTTTTGGGCTACAAATGGGGATGCTGGCTGCTTTCAATCATTACAGATTCTAATGGTACTATGAGCATCAAAGGAAATTCCCCATGTCCCTTAACCATGGGATTCTCATCTACATTTAGGGAGGGCAGATTATGACACTGTCAAGGGGGAGGCATATAAGCAAATTATACCCTCTTTTGGCAACATAGTGGCAAAATCATATTTGTATGGACAGCTAGGAAAAAGGAAGCCATTTCAGCCATTGTCTGCAGAATGTCAGGACACCCTCCATACAGGAAGTATAGGAGACCTGTGCAGTGAGAATAGGTATCCCCATCAACAGTACAGGGAGATTAGTAGATATTGTCCAGGTACTAATACTCTGCTCTTGCAGAGCAAATGGAATGGAATGAATCCAAAAGCCCTTGTTCAGGTAAATTTTTCAAACATTGGACCCCACGCAGCTTTCTGCAAAAGCATGCTAGATCAAGGAGACTGTCGCTAGGAGATACTGTAGTGAAACAGAAAGAAATATAATACAAAAATAAAACAGTCAATTTGCAAGCATAAAGACTCTTGGGTGTATTATGAGATTTAATCCATATTTTAAAATACTTCAGTTCTTCAGGAAAGATAGAAATAACCAACATCCCATTCAGCAACTGCCTTTCTTGTGACTTGCTTAGGGAAACAGTGGCCTTACATTTTTTGTGCTGGGGGGGCTGTGAGGTGCTTTAAGTATAAATGATGATTCTGATGCTGGGTTACAACATAGGGTTCTGGATGTTGCTAGCTGATTGCAGTTCTCAAGTCTTTAAAATGATTATGTATGTTGGGATGATAAAAATGCTGTCAAATTAGTAGAATCTTTCTAATTCTTTCAAGATCAAAATAATAAAGTATTTTTTTAACATTTCTGCTACATTTGCAGTCCAGTATCACATCTTTTATTGTTGCTAACTACTCATGCATATCACAGCGCACACGCGCGTACACACACACACACACACAAATCCATACTAAAACTAGTTGTGATTTAACTATAAATTCAAGCTGTTTCTGAGTCACAATATATTTCACCAGAATCCAAAATTGCATCTTATGGTTGACAGGCTAAAACTTTGGATTACTCTTTAAAAATAAAGATGCCATATTCCACAAATTGATAATGAAGACCTTTGCCTATAATAACTATTTAATTTAAATCTTCCATATGCATGGGTGTCATATGAAAAACAAGCCCCGGAAATTCACTGCCCAGTTGCTCTGCTTCCATAAGCCTTCATAAACCAGTGCAAGCTAGCTGACACATCTCCACAACCAAAACTACACCCCAGTTCGACACTTGGGAAAGATGGGTCCAGTCAGGTCTGCAAGTCGTCTTTTTCTCACTGAGGAAAAAAAAAAATACAGTTGAGGTCAGCATATTATTTATGTATAGAGGGGGGTATTCCATAGATATTCTAAATGCTTGAATTAGAAGACCATCACAAAGAAGGACAATTAACCCTAGGTGTAACAATTAGAATACTAAACCATCTAATCACATTTGAACAAACCTCACCAATTTAATTTAGGATATTTTTAAAAGAAATCAAGGAAGGTCTGAAAACACTGTAACCTAGACTGCATTAATCGCCAGGGCTTCTCCAGTGCCCCTGTCCTGGGCTAATCAATTTTCTTGGAAAACATTTTTGTGAAGTACTAAGGACTATTACTTCCTTTCCTCAGGACTGAAACTGGAATTCCTAGGATTCTAGAAAAGTCAATTTAACAGTGCAATGCTGTAGATAACAAGTCAGAAGTAATCCTTACGTTAACAGAACTAACAAGCAAATACACACACGATCACAGCCTCTATCTAGAGCAGATGTTTTCAAATTTTCAGGCTGCAGAACCTGTTCATTTAAAAAACAAAACAATCCCTGATCAAAAGAGGGGGAGCTTCTGAATGTCAACTGACAAGCCCTGCCCTTTCTATTGTACCTTGAAAAAAATGCTACTGATGCCCCTGAAGAGCATTGTTGAGGTGGGAGCAGATGGCCAAGTGTGTTCAAAGTTTTTTTCCCCCCTTTGACCCTTGCAGAGAGTTTCTTTATCCCATTAGTCCCACAGAACTCAAGTCCTTGCAGAAGCCAGTTTGAAAAACCCTGGCCTAGAGAATCTAACTGTCCACTGGAATTAGACTAAGGACAAAACTGGGCTCTGCATGCTTTGTTTTACCCCTTCTCCCCCCATCCCAATTCCTGCAAAAAGTAGTTCCTATTTTGTAAAAGAACCAGGGATTGTTAATTAAGTAACTCAGGTTGCACTTTGAACTCAGTTTCTCACTTCTTATGATTCTTTGGGAAAAAACCACCTAGTTAGAAGAGTTGCTACTGAATGGAAATGGTGCAAAAGACAGCTCAGGTTTAGGTCTAAGGGGGTCAACAGATAGCTAGGATTTCCTTCTCCTTCATTGTGGAAGGCCTAGATGTTGTTATGTTGTTTGCATGATAAATGGAAATAAATGTTAAAAAAAAAATCTTCACCTAGTCGGAAAAATCAAGTAGGCACCAGCTCTTGAAGTAGTTCTTTGCAAAACAGAGATACCAGGTGTTTGTGTAATGTTTCTGACAAAAATAAGCATTGCCTTCTTTGTATCAGGTTTAATTGCTGGCATTCAAATAAAGGCACCCCTAATGTAGAAACAGGCTTGAAGCTTTAACTGAGGGTAGAGTGTCTGGAGAACATCATATAACCTCATCTGGTCTGGTCCTGGTTGGACAGCCTCATATTCTGCACTTGGGCCAGAAACATTTGGGGCTGTCTACATTGAGGAAGGTTGTTTTATGCAATGATTTTTCCCAGCTGAAATCACATGACATTCAATTGCAAAAGTCAATCACGTATGTAAGCAGAAGGCAGAGGAAGAGCAAGGACAGGATGAAAGAGTGGGTCATAGTCATTCAACCATGAAGATAGGAGGTCTTTTTCTTCCAAAAAGGGAGCTGAAGCTATTTCTATAGAATAAAAGATATCCGGAGGAAGGCTATGAGCAGAAGTGGAGGGGGACAGTCAGAACCAAGTAGAATAGCAGAGAAGCACTACTAGTTCCAAACCTGGGAAGGAAAGAAAAGCAATTGCCAAGAGGGGAATTGCAGGGAAATCTATACTTAGACATCTTCCAGTTCCAGGGCTGAGGTGTAATGCCAGGGACCGTCACATCGATGTATACGAGCTGCAAATAAGAACTAAGTCAGATATCTTCTGTAGAATCTTGCACCAAGGAGGTCAGCTGAGACCAGTCCCCAGCCAACTGACATCTATTTCTACTCACAAAACCTAGAATACAAACACTTAGTTGCGACAGCTTGCTCCCCATGCAATAGAAATCCTCCTTGCTGTTACATCTGCTCATCCAATCAATGACAGAGGTTCATATATTCCATGAATGCAATGTAATACAGTATAAAGGCACAACATACTTTGCAGAAGTCTTTTTAGTATGCTTGATTTTCCATGAGCACTAATGAATCATTTAAGCTAATCTGTAGTTCTACAATAGGTCAGGATTTCCCACTGTTTGTAGGCTAGAGAATCTGTAATCCCTGTATATGCTTTGTATATGCTGCATGCTTTGCATGCAAATTGTTCCCCACTGAATCCCAAATAATTTCCATAAAAAGATGCCTGAGTCCATGAAGAACTGCTGTAAGTTAAGATAGCAGGTAACATTGGCCCAGACAGACCAACCACCTGAATCATCTGAAGGCAGGTTCATATATTACCCATTTGGTATGAGCTGTTTTTTCCTGAAAAAATTTGGCAACATCAAAAAACAAAACAAAATCAATCCCAAACCCACCCCTTGAATACCACAGGAATAGCAGTCAGGGATAATAAGAGCACAGACACCATTTTAAAAGCGTGATATTTTTTCATTAAAAAAAATATATGAAGAATATCTACATTTCTACATATTCAAAAGCTTCTGACTGAAACAGGAAATTTAGTTGCAACTCTAATCGAGGACTGCATTTATTGTTTTGTTCTAAGTAGAATCTTACTCTCCCTCCTTTCAACATGCCAATCTGTGATATTCATTTGGAAAATCTGATCTCAAGCAACATTTACCACCCACCCCCAGAAAAACCCCACCCACAAATGAATCCAACACTCCCCCACCCTCAAAATATTGAATAAAGGAAAATTGACTCAGCTACAAAAGATAGGAAGAAAGCAATCTCTTCTGCCTGCCAGGGAGCCAATAAACAATATCTTTCCCCAACCTGATGTTCTTCAGAAGTGCTGGACTACAACTCCCAGAATTCCCAACCAGCAGCTGGAAGTGACCAGTTTAAGAAGGCTAATATATAAACACTGCCATTTCTTGGGGTCATGGATCAAGAAAGATGGTCATGTCCACCCCAAGAACCCCTATTTCTATGAAAAAAAAATCTTACCAAGGTCATTGTTGTTCATCATGGCATTGGATGCCCGAAGTCTGGGTCCTTGTTGAGTGAAGTTATAACCAAACTTCAAGAGAGAGGTGTTTTTTTCTAACATACTGGCAATTTCCATTTCTACCTTGTTGCCCAAAAGTTGGCACTTAAAAAAAAAAAAGAAAAAAACATTTGCAGAGAAGCACTTTTTAAATTTTAGTTGCTTATCTTTTTATTTTACTGTTTCTTACTTCAAAGTTCTAAATTATGCTTATCTGTAATCAGAATAAAGATTTTTATGAGTATTAAAGTGAATCCATGGTCTTAACATGGACAAAACCTGAATTTGGTACTGAATGGAGTAGTCACAAGTAACTGCCTTTTAAAATTCATATACATGTATATAAAATTCATGCTAGCAGTCCACCTAAAAAAATCAAAATAATGTAAGAGTCAGTCCTCATTTCTGCGTAAAGTTGATGAGAAAATCATTTCAGCTTAAAACAGGATTTTTGTAGATGGAAGTCAAAGGTTTTATCAGTTGCCAGTGGGGCAAAATCTCTGCCCCTTTGAAGGAGCTCTTCAAACTTACCAAAATCCTTCTTTGCAAATTGTGCAAATAAAAAAGATCAAAGCGTGGGCCCATTTTGGTTCCACTCAGTTATGCGTACCTTGTGTGAGGTGGAGATAGTTGTTAAGATTGTGAAGATTCATATTATCATTCATCTCTATCTGCATTTCAGAGTATCACCTGGATGATACTAAACCATCATGTGGCATATTTGGTTTTGGCTTACCATGATATGTAGGATTTTGGTTGGTAAACCATAATTTTAGAGTTAGCAATATGTGGACTCCCAGCCAACTGCAATTTATTCAGGAAACCAAGGTTAAACGAACCAAAATTTAGCATGAAATAGTTTCAATCAGTGCCTTAGTTTAATGCTTGTTTTGGATTCCTTTTTATATATATATAATTTTAATTGAAACATTTTCCATAAGAAAAAGACAAATCTAAAGAAAAAAGAAGAAAAAGGAAAAAGAAAGAAAAGTACAAAAAGCAAAAAAGAGAAAGAAAACTAAAGAAACAATCATAATAATAATAAAAAAAAAGACTTCCAACCTTCTTTGCAACAGGTATTAACAAACTCCATTTTGGCTTTCTTTTTGTAAAATAAATGATGACATGGTGTAATATGTCATGTGCTGTTGTTTATCTGAGGTTGTATTTA